AGACAAATGAAGTTTATAGTTATATTCTGGTCTTAAATCTATTTTAAAGAATTTGTCCTGTCCAAGAAAAATGGGGTCAGACACATCCTGTGTTGGAGTAGAGGGTTTCTCCACAAACTGAAATAATGCATTCCTAGTGTGACCTGGCCACTTTCCATTTCAAAGACCATCCACAGTCACTGGAATCCATATTGGAAAACAGAAATTTGCTATTTCTCCAACCAGTCTGTTATTTTTGAATGAAAAAAACAAATCTCTGTCCTCATTTAAAAAGTAAAATAGTTGTTCTCCATTTTCATATCTTTTAGTTTTCTCTCTCAGAAAAAGGAAAATTATTAACCTACCAATTTCTAGTAAAAGTCCTATTCAAAACACAAATAAACAAAACAAAGCCCCCAAAGCAAACAAAAAGTCTTTTACTATTGCTACTTTTTGTATACTTTATTTAGATTCCACCTGAAATGGGGTCAGTTTTGCTCAAAATGTCAACTTTGGAGCTAGGCAGGAAAAAAAAATCATCCTGTACCAGAAGACAGATAATTTCAAGTTGAACTAGGAAATGTCTTTCACCACAAGCTATATGCTCTAACTAGCAGCTCTCTCCACCATAGTTACCAACTTCCAACTGTTTCAAACAAGTTAAGAAACTTGTTTGAAACTCTTTCACTGTATTTGTTTAATATGAGCTGATTAGAATTTAATATGAGCTGATTAAAAACCATAAAGTAAATTCTAATAACCACAATGAAAAGAGAATCTCTTCCATGTCATTCAGAAGTGTAGAAAAATGACTTACATTATGGTAAAATGTGGACTCATAATAAAAATATCAGCAATGTGCAGTTTTTAAAATGAGCCTGAAGTCGATATCAGAAACTAGAGAAATATCAACAATAGCACTTTCTCAATGTGTTATGATATCTACCACAAGAGTAAAGATCAGCACAAAATGGTATTTAAAACAACTCAATATTAGATGTTAACTTTATGGATGAAGAGCTTTTTATTTTCTATTTATTTTTTTTTTTAAATATCAGGTATACATAATTATATTTCAATTTCTGTGTCGATTACATCATGTTCACCACCCAAAGTCTAATTACCATCCATCACCACACATGTGTGCTTAATTACCCCTTTCGTCCTCCTCCCTCCCCCCTTCCCTCTGGTAACCACCAATCCAATCTCTGTCTCTATGTGTTTGTTGTTGTTTTTATCTGATGATGAATTTTTTAGATAAACATATAAAAGACTAGGATCTTAAGAGAAATATTGGTCCATTCTACTTGAGCCTAATAGCATACCTGGGGTTGTCCTCAATCAAATTATTATAATCTTTTAGTCAGTTTAGTCTTTTTATACCATACCATAGGGCTTTCAACTCCAAAGAGAAAATAATTTTAATTAAGACAACCACGGAACTTCAGCCCATTGAAGTCTAGCTGCCTTAAGAACGTTTTTATTTTCTAGTATCTTTTGTGAAACTGCTTTTCCAAAGTAAAATCAAAGTATAGGATAAATGAACAGAAATCTAAAATTGAGACGAAATTTAACTGAACTATATGACTATAAGTCAATTAGGATTTTCATGAGGCATAATGATATTTGCTCAATTCAAAGGACTGGAGAATTGCAGAAACAAAGGCTTAGATTTAAAATGAAATCTATGGGCCGGCCCCGTGGCTTAGCAGTTAAGTGCGCGCGCTCTGCTGCTGGCGGCCCGGGGTTCGGATCCCGGGCGCGCCCCGACGCACCGCTTCTCTGGCCATGCTGAGGCCGCGTCCCACATACAGCAACTAGAAGGATGTGCACCTATGACATACAACTATCTACTGGGGCTTTGGGGGGAAAATAAATAAATAAATAAAATCTTTAAAAAAAAAAATAAATAAAAATAAAATGAAACCTATTATGGATTAAGACAAGGCTTAATCTAGGTTGTTTTCTTTGCACTACGTCTTACATTATACCTTAAACAAATCAGGGTTTTAAAAATTGCTCGTTGGTGATAGAACTAATAATAAATTTCACCAGTATGAGTAAAAATCTAGTAAAACTGAAAATGGTTTCAATAATCCAAACCAATCATTGAAAGTAAATTATAAAATTATCTGAATTATTTATCGGGACTACAACAAGGTATTTAAATGACTAAAATTTCCCAAACAGAATTAAAATATTAAAAACATTTGCTGTTATTGTACCTTTTCTCTACTATTTCCTACGTAGATACAAATTATCATCATCTTATATATAACTGTTGGCTGAAGGATAAACAAGGAGAGCCTTCTAAAATCTCCATTACTCTTATATGAACTGCATATTTTTATTTTGAGTATAGGCAACAAAAGTCAAAGATTTTTTTTCTTTATCCTCCTTTTTAGCTTTATTTCCAAGCATATTACTCATTTTCTAAGCCCTGTTGAAGTTTTTCAGAATCTAAGTTGCTTTAATAGCCTTTTACAGTAATATTTCACTTAAAGTTATTGTTACAGAAACACCAATAGGTTTGAATACCAAGAAAAGTTCTAACAGGAAAAAAATGTAATCACTTAAAAAAAATCTGTATAAATAGCTCAACTCTGATTAAACTCTCTAATCCATTTAGTTAAACCAGTGACAAATCATTCTTTTTTAAGTAGCTTTAGTGCTTAAAAATACACTGGGAATAAAAATTCCAGTCAGAGAAAGCATTCCTTGCAAATATATATGTTTAATTTTGTTGGAATGGGAGAAAGGACTCTTATTCACCTTAATCCAGAGAAGATGAAGAGTGAGTGACTGGCATCTTTAATCTCTAACAAATAGTATGTTAAAAATATAGTTCCTAACTTCAAAGAACTTTTAGATTAGATGGAAAAAAATGATTATGAATACATTAAATAATTAAAGAAAAATATTTTTCTAAAATTTTTTTCCTAGTGAGATTTTCCCCATCTCCTTGAATTTTAAAAATTACCTTTTCTTTTCCAATGGAAAAAAAAGAAAAGCATGAAAGTAAAGATTTGTTAAACAGTAATATTTGAAACTGAAGTTAAGGTCCAAGTGAATAACTCTTTTGCTATAGTCTGAAAGATTAAAAAAGCCAATGTAGTTTTAATCATTACATGATTTACAAGTCAAATTCTCTAATACAGAACCACAGAAATCAGCACATAGAAGGTCAAATTTGCGCTACAGGTTATAAAGTACTTGGCCACTTAAAAACCAAGGGGAAAAAAGAAACTAAAGCAAGTGACAGGTACTTGTAAGAGTATGGGGAGCTGAACTGTGACCAACTCATAGTTTTAATACAACTTTTGTTGGGTGAAAATTTAATGAATATGTGGAAATGGAAGAAACTCAGAAACCATAGTTATTTCCATTTTAAATGAGGATGATAGTTCTGCACCACCAGCTGTTTATAGTTCATTGAATGAGGTTCTAGTTGACAGGAGATAATTACCTCTTCCCTACAGGAGGCAAGTGTTTCTCATTCTGCAGACACCTCTGATGAATGGCCATGGGAGTATGAGACTAAGACAGCATGCCAAGATCAGTTTGGTTTTTAATGATCTCTTTAAACACTTGATTTTCTATTTTTTCCTATTTAAGGATAGGAAAATGTGCACCTTAAAATATACAGAATCAAGTCACTGGCTATTATTTTGCTTTCATAAGACACTTTAACCTTAAAAGGAAAGGAGAGTGATTGTACACAGAAAGTATACCACCAATAGTATCAGAAAAGGATGGTCATTTCAACTTCAAGCATTTTGGGTGCTGAAGATTCTACTTACTAATTCATTGTTTTCCCCGGAAGACTATTCTATCTTTAAGTTCCTTGTTAGTTAATGATGCCCCCATTATCCCGTCATTTCAGCTCTTTCATCTACTTAGAAAGGCCTATCAATTCTATCTTCCCAATCTCTCTCAAATTTGTCTTTTCACTTCCAACACAAACTGCCACCTACCTCAATATTTCACACCTGCAGTATGGTCCTCATATCCTAAATGGTCTCCTCGCTTCTAGTCTTTTCCAATACTAATCCAGTTCAACTAAAATACTACTTTCAGATTATCATCACTAAAGCACCACTCTCATCATGCCATTCATGCATAAAAACCCTTCAAAAGCAGGTTGTGACTCCAAAATAGAAAAAAGCTTATGTCATATTAGGCAAAAAAACAAAATTCAAAAGTAAATCAATTCTATCCTCACAAATGTGTAAGGTTGGGTACACATATTAATAAGAACTAGAAGAGAACACAAAAAAATGGAGAGAATAAATTTAAAAGGGCCCAGGACTCTGGGTTTACCCCTGATTTTTATTTACTATTTGTTGTTATAATGATGTTTATGCAGTAAATAAAATCTTTCAGTAACCGCTTACTACTTATGCACCATAAAGCTTAACCTGCACCCAAGGACCTCTGCAACCTGGCTCCCAAACCTACCTTTTACAGCTTATTTTCCATCCCTCCTTTTCAAATAATCCAAAACTCCAGACAAACTAAAATATCCCATTTCTCATTGGGTTCCTGTACTGCTCTTTCCCAGCTATGGCATTACTCACATCACATGCTCCAGCTAGTATGCTCTTCTCTTCCATTTCTGTGCATCTAAATCTTACCCAATTATCCTTTACAGCTCAGTTCAAATAATACTTTTCCACAAAGCTATCCCTGACATCTCATTCCTCCAATGAGCATTTCATCTTTATCTCTCGTAGAAAATGTAGCACTTTCTGTTTTGCATTGTAGTGTGTGTGTGTGTGTGTGTGTGTGTGTGTGTGTAAGAAGTAGCCCCCTTTAGGGCAGGGACCTTGTTTTAGCCATCTTTGTGTTCCACTCAAGGCATAACAGTGTCTTTCGGAATAAATATGTAAAATGAGCGAGTAAAATACTTTCAAAAACAAGGGCTAGGAAGACCAAAAACCAACAGCAACTCTTACTTTTAGTTTTATTATGATTTTCCTTCTTTTTTCACTCAAGTTTATTTCCTAACCTAACCTTCTTACCTGAAGATATGTTATTCTCCGCTGAACCAGCTCTGTCAGATCTTTGGCCTCTTTTTCCCGCCAATCACCTGCTCCATCTGTTTGACTGAGGTAGTATAGATCCGTCATTATAGACCTATAAAAGCAAACAACATAGGAGGTCTAACTTATTTGTACTTCATCACAGGATTACACAAAGTCGTAAGAGGAGAATCTTCATAAAGATTGATGCTCACAGTGAGGCTGGTACTCATCCTCTATTTTCTATCAAGGCTATGAAATTCAAAAATCAGTCTCTAACATCCAACACTCATTCCTACAGTAAATTTTTACTGTTGAGAAAACACACTTTTTTTCTTACCAGACCAGTCAGTTGCACTTATTTCCCAACACAAAGAACTACTGAGGGGAAAGTGGATACCCATAGCAAAGAAACAGGTAGATGAACATGAGGGAGAGAAATAAGTGGTGCCAGTATTTAAATACTATGCCTTTTTATTCTCTCTACTGTCATTTCCTGGCCCCTCTTAAATTTTCTCTTCGCACTTAAACACTCTGAGTGGTTGGGAAAAAATCAGAAGAAAATTTTGATAAAACTCTTAAACAATGGTCTAAAGCAAGGGTCAGCAAACTTTTTTCTGTAGAGCGCTGGACTGTAAATGTTTTATAGGCTTTGTGGGCCTCTGTTGCTTTTGTAGAAGGGAACCTGCTATAGACAATAGGTAAATGAATGAGTGTACCTGTGTTCCAACAAAACTTCATTCACAAAAACAGGCTACGAGCCAGATTTGGCCCTTGCACCATAATTTGACAATTCTTGGTCTAGACTAATAAAATGATTGTTAAGATACTTTCCCACTCTGTGTAGCATCAGTAATTTCAATTATAACATGCTGGATTTCCTGCAAAATAAACTAAAATACCCAGTAAACTAGAAAGAGAAACTTCAGGGCTGGTGCAGATGGTTTTATTTATATTGCATTAAATAAAATTTATGACTTGCATTTGCCAATAAACAAAAGTAAAATGCAAAACTCTTCTTTCTCTAACCCCCTCCCCACCAATCTATCAGCAAACATTTAGGCAGTTTCTCACCACATATCACCACTGGCATTGCTACCAACTGAACCACCAACTTTTCTCACCTGAATTATTTCAGTAGCTTCTGAACAGGTCTCCCTGCTTCCACCTTTGCCTACATCTACAGTCTATTCTCATTATAGCAGCCAGATCCTATTAAAACACCAGTCAAATAATGTTACTCTTTTGCTCTTAACATTGAATTGGTTCTTCATTTCATGCACACAAAGTTATTACTTTGACCTACAAGGCCCCAGACAATATGGCCCTCAATTACCTTTTTGATCTCATCTCCTACTACTGTCCTCCTTGCTTACTCTACTTTAGCCCCATAGTCTTGTTATTAACCCCTGAACATGCCAGGCATGTTCCTACTTCAGGGCCTTTGCATATGCTCTTCCCTCCCCTGGAATGCTCATTTCCCAGATACTCATCCACATGTTTCACCCAAACGTCCTCCAAATCTTTGCTCATATGTCACCTTCTCCATAAGGCTTTCTCACAGACTATCTCACTTAAAAATTCAACACCCAATCACCATCACTATCCCTTGGTTTTCTCTCTCCTCCTTCCCTGCTTCATTTTTCTCCAAGCAATTATCATCTGCTAATATACATCATTTACTTCTTTGTTTTATTATCTTTCTCCCCCTACTAGAATTTAAGCTCCATGAGAGTAGGGTTTTTGTTCTTTAACTGTTTGTTTTGTTTTGTTTTTTTAATCAGCATTTAGAACAGTGCTGGTCACAGAGAAAATGTTCAACTAATATCTTTGAATAGATAAGTGAATGAAAAAGTAGCAAAAGAAAGATCTTCAAAAATTTTAGAGGAGATAATGTTGATAATTTTTACCTTTTACAAACCCAGTTTTGTGGTAGAGAGGTTTGGGGAATAATCCTCAACTGGGTTACAGCTCCACCTTCCCCCCTTCTCCACACTTTGTATTAACTCTTCTGCTCAAGGAATGCTTATAAATATGTATTATTTGCTTGTGGAAATTATAAAGTTAGAAATTTATTTCTGTCAAAAAAGTATATATATAAATGAAACACATCATACATACACTTCTAGAAACCACCTACAATGACGGCATTAACTAAAACCATAAAGCATTTAGCTGGAGGTTCATAAAGTACTTAGAGAAAATTGATCTGTAATATTAAATAAGAACAACAATTAACAGGTATTGAGCTCTTACTATGGGTCAGACACCTATTTTAGGTGCTTTACATTATTTCATTTAAGCCTTACAACTACCTTATAAATTAGATAAGGAATGGGAGGCACTGAGAGGTTAAATAATTTGCTCCAAGTCACAAAGTTCAGAAATGCAGAGTGGGAATTTAAACCCAAGCAGTGTATTCTAAAGCTGAAGCATTTAACTACTGCCCTAACAAATATCAAAGTAAGGGGTCCAGAGAACAAAAATGTGAACTCTGTTCGATGTAAATATGTACAATCAGAAAGCCTGAATCAGATGAGAAAGAGCTTTGGGAGCTAGACAGACTTATTTCTCAGTTTTGGCTCTACCTCTTACTAGCATTGTGTCCAAGGAAAGTTATTTTGACAACTCTGAGACTTAGTTACTTCATTTTTTAAAAATTTATTCATTGATTGATTGATTGTGAGGAAGATTAGTCCTGAGCTAACATCTGTCGCCAATCCTCCTCTTTTTTTCCTGAGGAAGACTGGCCCTGGGCTAACATCTGTGCCCATCTTCCTCCACTTTTCTATGGGATGCCACCACAGCATGGCTTGACAAGCAGTGCGTTGGTGCATGCGGGATCCAAACCCCAGGCCGCGGCAGTGGAGTGAGTACACTTAACCGATTCGCTACCGGGCTGGCCCCTTAGTTACTTCATTTTAAAATAAGTATTATGAAACTTTCCATACAGTTTTTTTTTTAAGGATTAGTGATAATACATACAAAGTAGTAATATATGTGGTGGCTGCCTGCTATAGACTGGATATCTGTGTCTCCCTCAAAATTCATATATTGAAACCTAATGTCCAATGTGATGGTATCAAAAGGTGGAGCCTTTGGGAGGTGATTAAGCCATGAGGGTGGAGCCCTTATGAATGGAATTAGTGCTCTTATAAAAAAGAGACCCCAGAGAACTCCCTAGCCCCTTCCACCACGTGAGGACACAAGGAGAAGGTGCTGTCTATGAACTAAAAAGAGACCCCTCACCAGACACCAAATATGCCAGTGTCTTGATCTTCGACTTACCAGCCTCCAGAACTGTGAGAAATAAATTTCTGTTGTTTATAAGCTACCCAGTCTTTGGTATTTTTGTTATAGCAGCCCGAATAGACTGTTATTTATGCTAGAATGCCTCAGAGAGTTGTTTCAGAGCTTTTACCTTGTGTCTGAAGAGTACCTACTAATAATTCTACAACTAAGAGGAAGGATCCTTTGGGTGTGGGTGACAGTAATATGTGATACTGAAGGCCAGTCAGAAAAATGATCCAGTACCCAATGCCTTATAGCACCCTGAAGAAAAGGACTGATCAGCAAGGACTCATTTAACAGATGACAAAACCAGCCCTCAACAATTGTGATTTATCTTGGAGTATATGACATTGTCTCAGTTCTCTTTTATTCCTGGTTCTTAAAATTTAGTAACAAAGAAATGCAGCCCACAGGGAAAACTAAAGTCTTATTTACTATCATAGAAAACCATTAGAACTACACACAATTAACAGAGAATCCCTAATAGCCCCTTTGAATAAAGCAAAACTATTAATACCATACAAACAAAAATTAAAAATCATAGCCACAGTTTAGAATATTCACCCAACTAACAGTGGAATAGCTTTATACAATGCTTTAAAACAAGAGGGTCATCCGTGAAGCATTTTAGACATTTGTTTAATGTGTGAACATTATCCACACACAGGACACTTCGCAGCTTGACTATTTCCATGTTTACTCTTTTTAAACAGGGCAAGAATCTAATATGTGATGCTTTATCTATTTGTATATTTATTATTCTCATCTAAGATTCAAAATATTTTCTTTTTATGAAAAACAGAAATTCTTGTTGGAAAAACAAAACCTACCACTTACTGTCTCCTTAAGAAATTAACTTGCAGTCTTACACACTTAACAGACGTTCAATTTTTAAGTTTTTTCAGATTATAAAACTCAGGTCTCTATGGACTAATACATAGCCTACAATATTCCTTTATAGTTACTGGGGAAAAAGTCACCACCCATGTGAAATTGTGTAAGCTCATCATGGAAACACATGAGAAGTCTTTAACTATAATGGTGTTATAGGGTTCAGCTGGAAGTTTATTTTAACTGTTTTCTCAGTTTTCTAAGCCTCTTTCCCATCACTCTGATCACACTCATGATTTTTTATATTTCCTAGGCTTCATCATATCCAAATGTGGTCATTTGCCTTTTCCTACCCATCAAATAGGAGTGATCACAAAACTTGTCACAAGCCTCAACTTTAAAGAGCAGTATTGTTTCTGGAGATGTAGTACAGTGAGATAAATAACCAGTCTATAAGTAAATGCTTGTTGAAGGAAAAAAGGAAATTCAATATGCTCTGCATGGCTTTACATTAAATTAAACATACAGATACACAAATAGCACTACATTTCATTGACAGTCATTATATAGCCTCAAGCAGGTAAAAACTACATTAGGTCTAATTTGGAAGGGGAAAGTCTTTGAAATAAAAAAATTGGCATGGTTTATGCTTTCATGTGATAGTAATCAAGCCATTCCTTTACCACTGGGAATTAAAACTGATCTCTGTATTTTTTAATGAATTAGAAAACATAAAAGTGAATGTTTTTACCCAGTTACATCTGTACTAAGTCTTGGCAATTAATTATTCACATTCATCCGAATCTTTGTTAAGAAAGTAGAATAATCAAGCTTATAACTAGAAGGCCAAACACCAAAACAAAAAAAGTACACTAATTTTTCATGATAACGCAGTCAGAGTCTCAATATAAGTCACTCTACTCCAATAGTCAGCTAAAATTAAGCTTGCTTCTTAAATCTTTTTTTCTTGGACCTCCCCATTGGATACCATGT